ACGAGGGCGAGCCGCGTGTCGTTCTGCTGAGCGCGCCCGAGGCGACGGATTTGCTGCCCGCCGGGGGAACGAGGGTTCGGGCGGACGGGGGGGAGGGGCACGGGGAGGTGGAGGAGCAGGTGGAAGGCGCCGCGCGCGGCAAGGCGGGTAAAAAGGGGGGAAAGAAGGGGAGAGCTGGGGAGGCGGAAGACACAGGCGGAGTGCAGGTGGTGGGGGGCATGCCCATGCAGGCGACCGTGCTGCGCGCGAGTCTCGCGGAGGCGGAGGGGGACGGGGAGGGTAAGAAGGAGCGGAAGAAAAAGAACAAGCGCAAGGCAGCAGAGGAGCAGGCGGTGGCGCTTCTGCCCGCCGCGGACGCGGCCATGGTGGGCCCAGGCGAGGGGATGGAGGGCGTGAGGGGGGGAGCGGAGAAGACAATAGAGGAGCAGCTCAAGGAGCTCGGCATCTCCCCCTCCGGCCACTCCCTCGCCCCCTCCACCGCCAAAAAGCCCCACTCCTCCGCACTGGTACCCAGCAAGGGGGGTGCGCGCGCAGAGACAATGGAGGTGCTGGCAGCGCCGCGGGCGGAGTCGCTATCAGTGGTGGTTCAGCAGGCGCTGGAAGCGGGCGACATGCCACTGCTGCGCCAGTGCTTCGAGGCCGCCATGACCGTGCGCCGCCGGGCCCTCATCCTCCCCACGGTGCGCCACCTGCCCCCACACCTGGCGCTGAAGCTGGTGGAGGTGGTGGCGGCGCGCGTGCAGGAGCACCCGGGGGAGGCGCTATCCATGGTGCCGTGGATGCAGGCCGCACTCACGTGCCACGCCGGCATGCTGGCATCGGCGCCGGCAGCGCACAAGGCACTGGCGGCGCTGTATCAGACTGTGGAGGCGCGTGTTGCTGCGCTACGGCCTATGCTGGAGCTGGCTGGGCGGCTGCAGCTCGTGGTGATGGCTGTCAGGGAGACATGCGGGGAAGAGGGTGCGCGCGGGGAGGGGGTTGCGGGGAGTAGGGGCGGTGGGGGGTATGAGAGGGAGGGGGCGGGTGGAGGAGTGCGGGCGGCGACGGTGTATGAGGAGGGGGATGATAGCGATGTGGAGGTGGAGGATGCGACTGGTGTGGAGGAGGGGCTGTTTGGGGCCGAGGGGTGGGTGGATGAGGAGGAGGAGGAGGAGGATGATGAGGAGGGGAGTGAGGAGGAGTATGAGGAGGAAGAGGAGAGGTTTGTGGAGGATGAGGAAGGGGATTTGATGGAGGGGGATGAGGACGAGGGTGAGGAGGATGAATAGTGAGGGATGTGTTTAGAGCTTCCTTAGTTATGTGTGGTCTGGTGTACTGCTGCTTTATGTTTTGTTGCAGCCATATCACCTACCGCCAATGCATCATTTCTGACACATACTAGCATGATGCCTGTGAGCAGGTGTCTCTTGTGATAGTTTTGAGTGGCAACAACGTAAAAGAACCTGGGAGTTGCTCTCAACTTTCCTGTATGTTTTTTTTCTACAAGTTGGGAAACAGAAGCACGTATGTTCACGAATCACTAATTCTAGGTAGACTGTTGGCTTTACTGCTAGCAACCTCAACCTCCAAGCCTAGTCACACATGTTTCAAGACGGCAAGCACGCGGTAGATCAAGGCCAACCCAGCAGCATTACAAGAAGCCGAGGTTGATAGTGTCTTTGACGATGAGGAAGATACCAGCGCCCAGCAGCGCCAGGAACCCCGACGACATGATGCCTCGCTCCACATCCACGGGGATCTTCTTCCCCCCCCGCACTGCCTCCACCGCCAGCAGCGCCAGGTACCCCCCGTCCAGCGCGGGCAGTGGCAGCAGATTCACAACTGCAAGGTTCAGATTCACTATGGCTGCAAACTGGAACAGCCCGGAGATGTTGCTTCTCGCCACCTCCGCCCCCACTGCCACGATCGCCACCGGGCCCGACACGCGGTCGGCGGTGTTGCCAAAGTTGAAGATGATCTGCTGCAGCCCGTCGGTCACGGCGCCCATGAGGCGCCCGAACTCCCTGCCCGCTGCCACTGTGCCGTCCAGGAGGTTGTCGGCGCGTTCCTGCTCCTGGTAGGAGTTGGGCGCCAGCTGCACGCCGATGCGCCCCCCACCGTCCCGGAACGACACGTCTGGCACCACCCTGATGCTCACCATGCGCTTCTCCCCTTCCTCCGCTGCCGCTGCCCCTGCTGCTGCGCTCGCCCCTGTTAGCTCCCCTTCCACCCCGCCGCTGAGAGGTGGGGCCTGCACGGAGCGGAGCACGTCGAGGGTGATGGGGCGGCCGGGCGAGGCGCGGATGTAGCTGACGAGGTCGGAGACGGCGGTGTTGGACGGCTGTAGCGGTGTGCCATCCGCTGCCACTATGAGGTCACCTGGCAGCAGCCCTGCCCTCTCGCCTGCTGACCCGTACACCACGTCTGGTACCATCACTCCTGGCTGGTATACCTGCTGGATCAGACCCACCGTGTTCACCTGGGGGAAGAGGGGAGGAAGCAAAAGGGGCATGTGTGAGAGGGGGATGGTGGTGAATAGAAGCCCTGCCCTCTCGCCTGCTGACCCGTACACCACGTCTGGGACCATCACTCCCAGTGGTACACCTGCTGGATCAGACCCACCGTGTTCACCTGGGAAGAGGAGGGGAAGCAAAGGGGGCATGTGTGAGAGGGGGGTGGTGGTGGTGGAGAGCAGCCCTGCCCTCTCGCCCGCTGGACCGTACACCACGTCTGGTATACCTGCTGGATCAGACCCACCGTGTTCACCTGGGGGTGGGGGGGAAGGAAGGACAGGGGGAATGTGCATGAGAGCAGTGCAGTGGAGAAGGAAGATGGGGCTCGTGTTGGAAAAAGCCCATCATTGCTGTGATGTTGCAATCCCAAACCATTTTCTTTAAACAGCACGGTGCTGCAATGCAAGCCAGGGCAACGCCAAGTCATCAGCAGGTCACTGATATGCACTGCCAACGCCAAGATAATGACTGTCCTGCAATCATCACGCACCTGGGTGAAGAGCAGCGCATATGCAAACACAATGTTGGCGATGACCCCGGCGCTGATGACAAACGCCCGGTCGGCGAGCGGGCGGTTCTTGAGCAGGTCGGGGTCGTCAGGCGGGTACACCGCCTCCTCACTCGGGTCATCATCTGGGAACCCCACAAACCCGCCCAGCGGGAACGCCCTCAGCGCATACTCCACGCCCTTCTCGGTGGTTCCGTCCTTGCCCTTGCCCTGGTACTTGGCGAGAACAGGGCCGAATCCGATGGAGAATTTCGTCACGTGCACGCCCAGGGAGCGCGCCGCTAGGAAGTGGCCTGCCTCGTGCACGGCCACGATGAGCGCCAGCACGCCCACTGCCTGGAGGACTGAGCCTGGGCCCGACAGGTCGAAGCCGCCCGTGAGCGGCGAGAAGGCCAGGAACGCCGCGGAGAGGAGGGCCGTGGAGGCGGGGAGGAGTGATGGTACGGCGGATGGTGCTGGTGCTGCAAGGATGGGGTGACGGGGAGGTGGGGGGGGGACGGTGGAGAGGGATGGTGGGGAGGTAAGGTGGGGAGAGGGGGAGGGGGGGGGGGGGAAATTGAGAAGGTTAGGGAAAAAAGTGGGGTCAGGGTGGAGGAGGAAAAGGCAAGCGTGAACAGGCTTCTATTTGATTAGGCTTCTAATTGATTAGGCTTCATTGGTGAAAAAGTGCGGACTGCTTGTGTTCTGCGGTGTGTATCATTCCATTCCACTGAGGCACGACGACAGCGGCACGGCGGTGGTGCACGAACCAGGCGCACGCAAGTCAAGCAGCAGCCTCCAAGTCCCCCCAGTACAGCCCGCCCTTCGTACACTTCTTGCCAAGTTGCTTATTCACATCATTCAAGAGACTCTCCTGTCGCCCCGTCTTGGCTCGACAAAGCAAAATTTCCCCCAGGCAGCCCTAATTAGCGACAGCGCGCTTCTCACCTGATTCAACGCCGCGCGAATCCGCGACAGCGGACTCCGCAGTCTCGTCTGCGGCGCTTCCCTCCGCCTCCGCTCGCCGCGCCTCTACTCGCCCCTCCTCCGCACACTCGTGGCTGCTGCTCCCCCTCGACTCCGCGCATACCCGCTGTAAGCCGCTGCGATACGACGCGGGGAACGACGGCCGGGAAACAAAGGCTTTCGGTTGACGTGGTAGCAACGCCACTGCCCGCGGTCTTAAGAACGAGAGTGTCTGGGCGGGGTAGGGCAACAAGGGAGACAGTCGAAGCCGCATGAATGTTAAACATATGAAATTGAGAAATTGCGCGAAGTGATAGGGGTAGGTGAAGACTAAGGTTGATTCTTTTAGTCCATTCCTGCTCTAACTAAGGCTCTTGGGCCGTCTTTATCGCGTATCGTCGCACCTGAATTGGCGCATGCTCGACGAGAATCGAGCGTGGAATTCGCAATCCCGTCGAAGCGACTCGGAGAGTCGACATGAACGGCAGGCCTCGGGCGAGTTTGACAGAGAACGGCAGAACCTCCCGCTCGCGCCGACGCAAGACGATTACCGACTGAAACGGGCGTGGCGCTGGGGAGAGCCTGGCACGTCGAGATACGTAGAGAAACGGAGAACAGCAAGGAGAGAAGTTGTGATGTTGGCTTGGAGTTAGCAAGTTATTGTTCCCCAGATGCTTTGAGTGTTCAGGTCCTCGCGGGACCCCAGGTTTGATAACTGGGCTGGGTTGGATCCTCGTGAGAGAAAGCAGGCAGGCAGTGAACGAGAGAAGGGCTCCTTGGGAATGTCGGTCATCGTCGTCACTGGCTCAGAGCCTTGTCGACGAGGAGCACGGGAAACATGGCTGGTATCGAACCACGTGGCGCTTTGTACCTTGCCTAACTTTCCCTTAACGCGGGTCATAGTGTAGTACCTATACTGAAGCCTTAAGTCACAATGATGTTTATGAGGCTAATGGGGCAATAAAGGAGGTACATCTGTAAACCAGGACCAAGCTTGCATGTAAGCTTGTTTGCCTACTGAGAACCAACCTAAGATACATCTGGTTTGAACACACTAGGAGCTTTGAGACTGCCTCTTTTGCACTACTGAGTCTGAGGAAGAACCATCTTTAATGAGCCCCTCCTCTTCATCCAATTGAGCAGCCTTCCTTGCAGCATCCTTGGACTTCATTTCCTGCAGTGGCCAGCGCACACCATGCAAAGGTGTCACACGTCTTAGATGAACACCATGCTAAAAAAAAACAAGCTCAATGCATCTGAGATTGATAGCTGACTTACTTGCAATTTGGAGTGATTATACCAGCACACTCCACCAAACGCCAGAAGATACCCAAACAAGTTGATGGCGGTTACCCTATCCTTGATGACAGACCAGGAGAAGGCGATGAGTAGCCAGTCCTTCACCACCCCTGCAGGGCAAGAGATCCAGCGGAGGCCAACAATCAAGAGGTATGGAAACACAACATGCGGTGATAGCATCCAACCTGGCAAAGTCAGACCAAGAAAACACGTCTACAGACCTGCCACGTTCATGGTGAGCGCTGATGTCTTGCCAATGAGCAGAAAGACAGCGAGGTTGAGGGCGAAGGCGCACACACAGTTGCCCCCAAACACCAGCAGGTCGGGGTGCGGGGCGACGAGGTGCGGGGCGAGGGAGGGGTACTCAACGAAGAACCAGGGGATGGTGAGGAAGACGAGGCACGTGGGGGACACGTAGTAGAGGCTGGTGATGGGGTTCAGGGAAATGCCCTTGGACGCCAACAGGATCTGCAGGGGCGGCATGGGATGAATGGGGAAAGATGAGCTGAGACTGCAAAGGCATCAGTGGGGCATGGTGCCTTGGGGTGACAGAGGCGCCTCCGCGGACCAGGCTATCTGCTGCTTTTCTGGGCTTTGACTGTTAGGTCAAGGCACAGGATGAGAAATTCGTGAACGGGTGGTGTGGTAACTACTAACCACACGGCCACAGTCAAGCATGCAGAAGAGCAGGGGCATACCTGGATGAGCACAAGGCGAGTGGCTTCAAAGGCGACGGCGGCGAGCTGCAGGAGGACGCCTGTGAAGTTGAAGTTGGCCTCGCCGTACGCCGCTATGCCCACGCCCACTGACACTAGCAGCATGTTGCTCATGGTGGCGCAGCGGAAGGCGTCCTTCTGAAAGGCCACTCCCAGAGTGTACACCGCCACTGGCATCAGCGCCTTCAGCATCTGGTGGTGGGGGCGCGGACGGACAAGGATGGGGTGGGGAGGGGAGGACAGGGGGGGCACGGAGAGAGACGGAGGGACATGGAAGAAGACGGAGCGGCATGAGGACAAAGAAAAGGCAGGATACATGTAAGAATTTAGTGGGCGAGGATCCCAGAATAACAGCACTGTGTTGTTCTTGGTGAAGAAGGACGGAAGCTTGGTAGTAAAAAGAGAAGGAGGGCAGGCAGACGAGCTGTGCAAAGAGATAGGACGGACGCCATTAGGCACGCATTACGGGGGCAACGTGTGGCAGCAGAGAAGAGCGACATGCACAGCACAGTCCAACCAGGAGTAGGGAGAGAGAGTGGCACCTGGATGAAGGAGACGGAGAGGTAGATGTAGGCGGAGTTGGAGAACCAGAGGCTCATGGCGTAGAGCGCGCCGATGGGCAGCACGGAGGAGACGTACATCTCGAGGCTCATGGCCACCGGCTCCACCACGCGCACCACGCGCACCAGCACGAACGCCAGCGACGAGCAGAACGCCATGTGGATCATCGTCAGACTGGATGGGGGAGGGGGAGGTGGGAAGGGAGAAGGAGAAGAGGCGGGAATAGAGGGTTACACGGCGAAGGTGAGTAGAGCAGGAGTTAGACGCGCAAAACATGGAGACGTGAACGTTCTGTTAGTGTTCGACGTGGATCATGAGGCAGCTTCCAGAAGCTCACCTGATGGGATACGGCCAGTTGTACATCTTCCTGTCCAGGATGTACTTATTGAATATAATGACGGAGAAGCTTAGAACGATCCATATCGCCACGTAAAAGTAGCTCAATATAATTCTCCGCAACAAAGGACTAAGGAATGCCATGACGCGATTAGTTTGAGAAGTGAAGGCAACGAAAATCGCAACAGCACCCGATAATAGAGTTTTGCAAGCGCACTAGTTCCTGCTCGCGATGTGCTGATCTCTATCGCTTGCTGAGTGATGGAGGGCAGAATCTAGCAAGCGCAGTCACTGGGTCTCTAAGACCGTGACTCGCTACTCCTGCACAGGAATTGCTGGAACGGGGTTCTCTGCATCGCTCCTTGATTCATCAGCTGCTGTGAACCTCATAAGCGACCTCGGCAATTCCAAACAGCGCTCATGGAAATCTTCGAATGGCCATGCTAGTCTGCCGTCGCGAGTGACGGCATGAATAGACAGCTGACAACAGGACCTGGCTGTCTGAAGTGTCCTGGTAATCTCGAGAGAGCCGTGACAGTGCCTGCCTGGTACTATACTGAAAGCATCAGAGGAATAATGGAATCACTGTATTCTTATTGGTTATCACTATCCATGCACTGTACGTTGTGAGACTGAAAACTCCTTGTAACCAGGCATCACGAAAGTCCTGACACCTGAAAGCTTCGACGATTGTCGTGAGAAAGTTCCCCCCTTGTCTTTGTTGTGCTTGGTGGCCTGAGCATCGTGACGAGAACCTTTTTGTAACCAGGCATCACGAAAGTCCTGACACCTCGAACCAGAATTGAGGCACTTTGTTTTAGTTAGTGGCATTCTGGAGTAGAGTCCTGGGATTCATCAGCTCATCAAGACATGCCTTCCAGACAGCGTGATGATTTCCAGTCACCGTGATCAGCGTGATCAAGGTCCACGGCGTTAGTGTACCTGTTACTTCTTTATCATTTAGAGACTGAGCGAGGTTCACGCGGTTACGGCGGAGTCTTGTTTCCGTCTGACCATTAGCCATCATGAATCCCCTAACGCAGATCAAGAACACGCAGAAAATAACAGCGCGAGAGACAGCTAGAGGGGTATCGGACGAAGCGTCATGGCACGCCAAGTACAAGGAGTCCGCGTATGTCTTCGTCGGCGGCCTTCCGTACGACCTCACTGAGGGGGACCTCCTTGCGGTCTTTGCCCAGTAAGACTCACCCATAGTCCCCCCTTTTTCAACTCCGGTGTCACGGTTCCGCGTGCACGGTTCACTGTAATGCAGCGTAAGAAGTTGTGCTGGTCATTCTATATGGATGTCAAGCTTCTTCGACCAGCTGCCTTTTTTCTCACTTTCCCAGTCCGGCCTCCTTCTCATTCTTTCCTCTTCCCCCTTACCCGTCCCATCCCACGTGGCTAGGTGCGGTGAAATAATGGATGTGAATCTGGTGCGGGACAAGTCCACCGGCAAGTCCAAGGGCTTCGCGTTTCTGGCGTACGAGGACCAGCGCAGCACCATCCTCGCTGTCGGTGCGTTCCTTCGTATCATGGCCCTGTGTGTATCCTGTTGATGCCTTAGTGTGACCAGCTCGGATCAAGTACATCAACTCTCTCACAGCATCAGCAATTCAGCGATGATTGCTAGGAAATTCTGGACTGGACTTCGAACGTTTGATTCGCTCCAACTCGTTCTCCCCATCCCAACCGCCCCCGTCCACCCTTCCTCTCGCTCCTCTCTCCTCCCACTGTGCAGACAACCTGAACGGCGCTAAGGTTGCGGGGCGGATAGTAAGGGTGGACCACGTGGCGGATTACAAGAGGATAGCCAAGGAGGATGAGGAGGAGCGGGAGAAGCGCAGGGAAGAGAACGGAGTCTGCTATGCGTTCCAGAGAGGGGAGTGCTCCCGAGGAGACAACTGCCGATTCTCCCATGATGCCCAGGTAGTGTTCGCCTGCACACCAGAAAGACTCATGCTCAGTACTAACGAACCAGGGCCTGATTTGATCCCAGACCTAAACCAATCTTGGCGTTTCCCCTTTCTGTCTTCCCCACCACCAGAGAAACGCTGACACAGGATGGGGCGGGAAGGAGGACACGGTACGGGGAACAGAGAGCCGCAGCAGGGCGAATTTTGAGCAGCGTGAAGAGCGAGAGAATGGTGGGAGGGGCGGTGGTGGGAGGCCAGGCGGGGGAAGAGGGGAGGCGGGGATGGAGAGAAATGGGGAGGGTGGTGATGATAGAATTCAGAGTTGGGCGAAAGAGGAAGTTCCTGGACGGAGAGGGCAATTCGAGGATGTGAAGGGTGGGGGGGAAGGTGATAGGAGAGAGGAGGGAAGGCACAAGGCACGACAGACTGGGAAGGGAGGGGGTGAGAGGAAGGATGGGCATGCATTGAGGAAGGATGGGCATGCATTGAGGAAGAGTACGATCGAGCGCAAGGAGGGGTTTAGGAACGAAACAAGCGAGGGGGGAGATGACAGGCTGAGAGGAGAGGAGGATGAAGGAAGGGGTAACGATGAGTGGAGGAAGGTCAGAAGCAGGGAAGGTGGCGAGAGGCATGGGAAGCGGGAAGAGAGGGGTAAGGATGACATAGAAGAGAGGAGAGGTGCAAGACGGGAGTTGGAGGAAAAACGAGAGAGGTTCAAGGGTAGTGATGACAAGCACAAGCGGCGAACGGAGGAGGATGAGGACGAGGGGCCAAAGCGCGGGAGTGATGAAGACAGAAAGCGGAGGAAAAGGGATGAGGAGTACTCGTAGGTGACTGGGATGCACAGATTGTGGCAGGACACCAGTGACCTCTCTCCTTTGTGGTCAACCTGATGACTACACAATGATTGGTAACCATCTCCAAAGGTTATTCAATTCGCTGTTCGTAATGTGACACAACCTGCAGCCTTTGTTGGATGCAGGTTCTTTAGCACCTACCCTCATTCCGTTTCTCGTCAACCTCATAGGGATTTGAATGTCAGCAGACAATGCCATGGAGTCCAAAAATGAAGCACTACCCCAACCAGATGCACTATAGGCATCAAGATTCAAGACATACGGACATCATTAGACTTTCAGCACTCAAACTCTGCATTCAACTAAATGGTAAGAGCACCAGTTTGAGTCAGCACTGTAAGCCACCAGTTGACAAGGCAGCAGCATGTCGCAACGCCATTTACTGGTTATCTTCTTAGCCCCACCAGCTTTGGGCAGCTCTTAACCAAAGCACTGTTCTCCGGGCACGGGCGGCGGAATATAGCCATAGTCCAGCAGCTGCAGCCCGAACACCACCACTGCCGCCAGCAGCGTCAGGTACGCCAGCCCCTCGGCCGCCCCCAGCAGCCCATAGGGTCCGTTGGGCAGCCCCTTGCCGGTGGTGGCCTTGGTGTATGCGGACCAGCCCACGAGCCCCACTATCGCCAGGTACGCCACGCCCTCCAGCGCGCCCAAACTGCCGCCTGGCCCCGGGGGCAGCCCGCAGCCTGGGGGGAGAGGGAAGGGTTTTGTTGAAAGCGCGAGTGGAGGGGGTCAGTGCCTTTGCGAAGAGGTGTGGGGCGGCCGCGGAGAATATTAAGGAAGGCGGCACGCCGGTGGAGTCGCATGGGAGGCGAAGATGGGTTTCGTTATCGCTCATGTCAATTGGAAGTTGGCAATGGACGCAATGTCAGCGTAGTGACGGCGGCAGTGGCGGGAATGGTGGCGCTCACCGGTGGTCTTGAGGGTGAAGAGCGACCACGCAACCACGGGAACGGAAATCAGCCCGCTGACAGCCCCCGCGATCTCCGCCGTGCTGCTCCCCTCATCGCTCGCCTTCGCGCGAACAAGCGTGCGTTGAACGCGGGGAAGAGCGCGCGAAGCAGTGATTCGCGCATAGAGCGCGGGGGTTGCGCGGGTGCGCGCGGAGGAGATGGCCGCGGGGATGGCAGCCGTTGAGCGCAGGGGAAGCGCAACAGCCGCTAAGGTGAGCATTGCGGTAGCCATGGTGAAAATGTGCAACAAATGTTCCAACGCGGCAGTTGAAGTTGGCTGAAAACATTCAAAGGCCTTATTACAGCATCTCCCAATTGATGACAGCTCTCGTAGCTCAGTTGGTTAGAGCGTATGGCTGTTAACCATAAGGTCGGTGGTTCAAGCCCACCTGGGAGCGCTCGTTTTGCTTCAGCGGGACCTTTGGCCGACATTTTGTTCATTCAAATTTATCATTACACCCGCCCATGCTACCTCATCCCGTTCATCCCCCATTTTTCTCGTTTCTTGTCTCGCTTTTTCTCTTGCCCCTCACGATACCTTGGCCTCGATCCGCTCGCTTGACGCTAATCGGAAGATCAGCGCGAGGCGGTAGGCCAATATTTGCGGGAAACGACTAGTTAGGCTCCAACGAACGGAAGATTGGTCGATCAACGGTCGATTCGTAACCTGGATAATATTTTCCCGGGAGTAGGTCGAGTGATTTTGTGGGCGTGTAGGTAAACGGCAGCAGCACACGATGACGACGCGGATCACGCCGGGGGTGGGCGCGAACCTCATCGGGCAGCACGCGCAGGAGCGCAACCAGGACGCCACGGCCTATGTCGGCAACCTCGACCCGCAGGTGCGTTGCGCTCCTGTGCCTCGCAGCGCGCTTGGTGCTGTCAGTGCGTTAACAGCATTCAGTTGCATCCGCGTGGTTGTGGGTCATCATTCGCATGTCATGCATGGGCCCGCAGCCATCCCGCGTTTGCTTACGGCAAAACCTCCCTCCCTGCAACCCTCACTCTGTTCATTCTTGACCTACCCCTTTACCTTCCCTCCCCTACCCCTGTGACCCTTGTCCCCCCACCCTGTGCCCTTGACCCCGCCACGCTCCCCTCACGCTCCACCGTTTCCCCCATTTATCTCCCCCCACGTCTCCCCTCTTTCCCCTCTCTGCCCCCCCATACCCCACCCTTTTTCCCCTTGTGCTCGATGCGACCCCTTTTCCCACTGTGTCCCTGATCCCCCATGCTCCGCCTCTCCCCCTGTGCCCTCTTCCCCCCAACGCTCCCCCTCATTCATCCCTGTGCCCTTTGGCCCTCCCCATGCCCCCCCTCTTTCTCCCCTGTGCCCCTTTCTCCCCATGCCCCCCCTCTTTCTCCCCTGTGCCCCTTTCTCCCCAAGCCACCCTCTGTTCCCATTGTGCCCCTTTCCACCTTATGCTCCCCCTCACGCCACTCCCCATGCCACGCCCCACGAGCGCAGATGTCGGAGGAGGTCATCTGGGAGCTTTTCGTGCAGGCGGGGCCCGTTGGTGAGCCACGGGGTTGCAGGGGGAGTGGGGGACGGGCTGGGGGCTGTTGGGAGGAGTGTGGAGGGGTCATTAATCTGCTAGAAAGGGGCTGGGAAGTCTGGTGGTTTTATTCCACCTCATGTGCCACACATGCCTTGTGTCACTCCTACTCCCCTTTCCTTTCTTGCCTATTTCTGCTCCTCACTTTTCTCCATGTCTCCCCGAACCCTTCCTCTTCGACCTGCTTCCCACTCCCATCGCCATCCCCTCTCCCTCGCTCCTCTTTCCTCACTCCTCGCCCAGATGCCTCATGCATGCACGCACCTCAGTTCTCCCCCTCTCCAAATCCCCCTTTCCCCCCCACTCCGCTGCTCCCGCCAGTGAACGTGTATGTGCCCAAGGATCGAGTGACAGGGCAGCACCAGGGGTACGGCTTTGTGGAGTTCCGCTCCGAAGAGGATGCCGACTATGTGCGTGACGGGGGGTTCTCTTAAGTGGGGGGGAGATGCGTGGTGGTTTGGTGAATGGGGGAATTTGTGTGTGCTGAGTTGGGGGGTGTCGGCTTGTCAGTGGTTTTATGCGTTGTGAGTGGGAAGGTGGTGACTTGTCGGCTCACACACACTCACCTCTCACACACACGCACCCTCACAGTCACCATTCACACATGCTCACCACTCACACTTACCACTCACAGGACACTCACACACACAGTACTGCTCACCATTCTTACTCACACCTCCCATTTACACTCCACACGTACACTCACCACGAACACCCATAACCGCGCTCATTCACACTCACCGTTCACACTCAGACTAACCCTCAGACTCCGCACTCACACCCACACTCGCCACTCACACTCACCGTCGTCACCACTCACAATCATACTCATCGCTCACCCAGACTTACCACTGCTAACTCAAATTCAGCACTCACACTCACCACTCACACTCTCCATCACACTCACACCCTCACACTCGCCACTCGCTCACACTCACTGTCACGCCCATGACCATCACACCCTATGCAGGCAGTGAAGGTGCTGAACATGGTGAAGGTGTTTGGGCGTCCCATGCGCGTGAACAAGGCCAGTCAGGACCGCCGCACTGTGGACGTTGGTGCCAACCTCTTCATTGGCAACCTTGACCCTGTAAGACTCAATTTCATCCCATGTGACTCGTATCGACCCTGTCAGACTCGCTTTGATCCTGTGAGACTTGGGGTGACCCCATGAGACTCCCATCTGCCCCGTCAGTCTCCCACTTATCCCGTCAGTCTCCCACTTATCCCGTCAGTCTCCCACTTATCCCATCAACCTCGTAACTACCTTCTTCGAGGTTCCCCATACAACACATCCACTCCTGCTTGTGTCTCCGATTCCCCTTACAAGCTCACAGCGCCCTCCCTATCTTCCATCTTCACTGCTTCCCGCGGTCTTACTCTTGTCTTACTCTGCTCGGTACACCTCCTCATCCTCTTCTCCCTCCCTCCTTCCATCAATCTATTCCTCTATCCATGCATATGCGCGCATGAACAGGACGTGGATGAGAAGGTGCTATACGACACCTTCAGTGCTTTCGGTGTCATCGTCACCAACCCCAAGGTGGGCCTTCCATCCTCCCAATTTTTAGGCATTCGCCTGACCTCATGTCGCGTTGACACTTTATGTGTGTTTGCTCTATCCCGTTTGACTTCATGCCTTTTCCCGCTGCTTTGTAGTCGCTTTCCTTACTGTCTACTGTCGCGTGGTATGGCATGGCATGGTGGGAGTGCAGATCATGAGGGATACAGAGAGTGGCAACTCCAAGGGCTTCGGATTCATAAGCTACGATTCATTCGAGGCGTCTGATGCTGCTATTGAGGTACCCCGCACATGCTGCCATCAACGTGTTGCCCCTTGCTTTCCATAGGTTTGTCTGTTAGAGTCTAGGATGGTACGAGTGTATGAGTCCGAAGTTCGGCTTGCCCCGGTTGCTACCGTGTGTGCAGGCAATGAACGGGCAGTATCTGTGCAACCGAGCCATCTCGGTGTCGTATGCCTTCAAGAAGGACACCAAGGGGGAGCGGCACGGCACCCCTGCAGGTCACTTCTCTCCATGTGCCTCCTGATTTCTTTCCCGGTGGATGCTGATTTCTTTCCCTGTGGATGCTGATTTCTTTCCCTGTGGATGCTGATTTCTTTCCCTGTGGATGCTGATTTCTTTCCCTGTGGATGCTGATTTCTTTCCCTGTGGATGCTGATTTCTTTCCCGGTGGATGCTGATTTCTTTCCCTGCGGATGCTGATTTCTTTCCCTGTGGATGCTGATTTCTTTCCCGGTGGATGCTGATTTCTTTCCCTGTGGATGCTGATTTCTTTCCCTGTGGATGCTGATTTCTTTCCCTGTGGATGCTGATTTCTTTCCCGGTGGATGCTGATTTCTTTCCCTGTGGATGCTGATTTCTTTCCCTGTGGATGCTGATTTCTTTCCCGGTGGATGCTGGTTTCTTTCCCTGTGGATGCTGATTTCTTTCCCTGTGGATGCTGATTTCTTTCCCTGTGGATGCTGATTTCTTTCCCGGTGGATGCTGATTTCTTTCCCGGTGGATGCTGATTTCTTTCCCTGTGGATGCTGATTTCTTTCCCTGTGGATGCTGATTTCTTTCCCTGTGGATGCTGATTTCTTTCCCTGTGGATGCTGATTTCTTTCCCTGTGGATGCTGATTTCTTTCCCGGTGGATGCTGATTTCTTTCCCTGTGGATGCTGATTTCTTTCCCTGTGGATGCTGATTTCTTTCCCTGTGGATGCTGATTTCTTTCCCAGTGGATGCTGATTTCTTTCCCTGTGGATGCTGATTTCTTTCCCTGTGGATGCTGATTTCTTTCCCGGTCGATGCTGATTTCTTTCCCTGATGCTGATTTCTTTCCCTGTGGATGCTGATTTCTTTCCCTGTGGATGCTGATTTCTTTCCCTGTGGATGCTGATTTCTTTCCCTGTGGATGCTGATTTCTTTCCCGGTGGATGCTGGTTTCTTTCCCTGTGGATGCTGATTTCTTTCCCTGTGGATGCTGATTTCTTTCCCTGTGGATGCTGATTTCTTTCCCGGTGGATGCTGATTTCTTTCCCGGTGGATGCTGATTTCTTTCCCTGTGGATGCTGATTTCTTTCCCTGTGGATGCTGATTTCTTTCCCTGTGGATGCTGATTTCTTTCCCTGTGGATGCTGATTTCTTTCCCTGTGGATGCTGATTTCTTTCCCTGTGGATGCTGATTTCTTTCCCGGTGGATGCTGATTTCTTTCCCTGTGGATGCTGATTTCTTTCCCTGTGGATGCTGATTTCTTTCCCTGTGGATGCTGATTTCTTTCCCGGTGGATGCTGATTTCTTTCCCTGTGGATGCTGATTTCTTTCCCCGTGGATGCTGATTTCTTTCCCGGTCGATGCTGATTTCTTTCCCTGATGCTGATTTCTTTCCCTGTGGATGCTGATTTCTTTCCCTGTGGATGCTGATTTCTTTCCCGGTGGATGCTGATTTCTTTCCCTGTGGATGCTGATTTCTTTCCCTGTGGATGCTGATTTCTTTCCCGGTGGATGCTGATTTCTTTCCCTGTGGATGCTGATTTCTTTCCCTGTGGATGCTGATTTCTTTCCCGGTGGATGCTGATTTCTTTCCCTGTGGATGCTGATTTCTTTCCCTGTGGATGCTGATTTCTTTCCCTGTGGATGCTGATTTCTTTCCCTGTGGATGCTGATTTCTTTCCCTGTGGATGCTGATTTCTTTCCCTGTGGATGCTGATTTCTTTCCCGGTGGATGCTGATTTCTTTCCCTGTGGATGCTGATTTCTTTCCCTGTGGATGCTGATTTCTTTCCCTGTGGATGCTGATTTCTTTCCCGGTGGATGCTGATTTCTTTCCCGGTGGATGCTGATTTCTTTCCCTGTGGATGCTGATTTCTTTCCCTGTGGATGCTGATTTCTTTCCCTGTGGATGCTGATTTCTTTCCCTGTGGATGCTGATTTCTTTCCCTGTGGATGCTGATTTCTTTCCCTGTGGATGCTGATTTCTTTCCCAGTGGATGCTGATTTCTTTCCCTGTGGATGCTGATTTCTTTCCCTGTGGATGCTGATTTCTTTCCCGGTGGATGCTGATTTCTTTCCCTGTGGATGCTGATTTCTTTCCCTGTGGATGCTGATTTCTTTCCCTGTGGATGCTGATTTCTTTCCCGGTGGATGCTGATTTCTTTCCCTGTGGATGCTGATTTCTTTCCCTGTGGATGCTGATTTCTTTCCCGGTGGATGCTGATTGGCTTTCATTGTGCCACCTGGTTGCTCTTTTTGTGGGTACTATGCATTTCAGAAGAACTTCAAATGTCTGGTGGTAATGTATTCGCTCGTTCGATGGAAGGCCGGCTATTTTTGTTCTTTCGCACTCTCGATACCTTTCTCTTAACTTGCTTTCTTATCCGTCTCCTTCTGCTCCCCTTGTCCCCGCCCTCTCTCCCTTCTTCAGAGCGACTGCTGGCAGCCAACAACCCGTCCACCACGCGCCATCGCCCGCACACCATGTTTGCTGCAGCTCCCCCCTCCGCTCCCCCTCCTCCTCCCCCCTCTCGCCCACCTCCATCTTCCATCCCTGCTGCTGCCGCCCCTCCCCCTCCTCGCCCGTACACCTCTCCTGCTCCCCCTGCAACCCTGCCTGCACCTTCTCCTTACCGCCCCCCTCCTCCCCCATCCTATGGCGGTGCGGGCGCATCCCCTGCTCCCCCGTACTACCCCACTCCCCAGATGCGCCCCCCACCTCCATCCCAACAGTACCCCCCCCACCAGATGCCACCTCCTCCCCCCCAGCACTGGCAGCAAAACCAGCCCCCGCCCCCTCCCCAGCACTATGCCCCCCCGCCTCGCATGCCCCCCCCTCCCCACCATGGCGGAGCACCAGGGGGGGGCTATGGTCCCCCGCCCCCCCATGGGGGAGCACCAGGAAGGGGATATCCCCCCCCTCCTCCCCACGGCGGAGCACCAGGGGGAGGATATCCGCCCCCTCCCCCTCAGGGCGGAGCACCAGGGGGAGGCTATCCGCCCCCTTCCCCTCAGGGCGGAGCACCAGGGGGGGGCTACCCTCCCCCTCCCCGCTACCCCACTCCTGGCGGCCCTCCCCCCTCGTATCCCCCACCTGGCCAGGGTTACGCCATGCCTCCTCCTCCCCCTCAGCCCCACCAAGGGGGGTGGCGGCCGGGGCAGCCCCCCCCTCCCCCTGCGCCTGGTGCAGGGGGAGCAGGTGGGGGTGGGCCAGGGCCGAACATGGCTGTTCCTCCTCCTCCCCGACCACCCATGGGGGGAGCTCCTCCTGGGGGCAGTGTGCTTGGGGCCGCCCCGGGTACGAACTAGTGAAGAAATATGTAACAATCTATGGTCTCCCTATGATTGGTCTGGTGAATGGAAAGTATAGTAGAGACAATTGAGAACCTAGTTCTGTTAGTGCTTTTTATCACCATGTGCTACAAAGCTCATACGGTATCAGTGGTTTCCCTTGTGTTTTTCTACAACGCAAGTGAATGAGTTGAAACCATGGCAGAGAGCTTGCTGCCATTTACAGTATCTAGATTCAAATATCCTCTCGCATCCAACAGGGCAATGCACTTTTCTCGTTGGATAAAATTGAGGGAAAATCTTATGTTTACCGAATGAAACGTCACACCACCTGTCGGTGCCAGTTTTGTTGTCTCGCGACAAGGCTGCCCGATGGGGCTTGTGGTTTTGGTAACCGAAAAGGAGTGGAGGAGACGAGTGTCTGTAGCGGGTAACATAGTCTCGCAGTTGTTCGCTGATGATTCAATTGGTGCTCCAAAACGCCAACGACTCTCGTATGACCGGTTATTGTCGCATGATTCGCTAAAGTAACCTTCACGCAACACCCCTCGATGCTTCCACCTGCTCCTCCCTTCCCTGAATCCACGACCTCCACCACCCAGCCGCCATGTCCACCCCAGTCAGCACGTGAGTCCACAGTTACTGCCTCAGTAAATCTGCCTTCTGCTCTTCCCATCTACTTGTGCGGATTACAGTACAGTAGTGAGTTCGCACGGCGCGAGCTCACGCCTCACTATCACCACCATGAAGTCGACCTTCATGTGCTCTCAGTGTGTTGTTTCCCACCTTCCCACTTCCACCAGTCTTCAATCAATCTCCACATTTAGCCGCCCTCTGGCTTTGCATCGTCGTGGATTTCGATTCATCTGTCTCTGTGAACGCTGCTCCCCACACTCACCGCACCGCCGTCCATGGCCCACGTCCGCTGCCTTCCCGTCTCCGTCCCACCCTCGCGAATCCCGCACTGCGCCACGTGTCCTCCCGATATGTCGTTCCCGTCGGACCTTGTCTCGTCGGAGTTAGTGCCACCAGAGTTCGTGTGTCCGCTGGCGGCCGCGATCATGCGCGACCCGGTCATCGCGCCCACCGGCCAGTCGTACGACCGCGCAAGCATTCTAGACTTCCGCGCGCGCGGCGGCCGCTTCTGCCCCAAGACGGGGGCGGCGCTCGCGGACTGCGCGCTCATTCCCAACGACGCGCTCCGCCAGCTCATTGCCGCCTGGTGCCTCTCCCACGCCACGCCCGTCCATTCCCCTCCTTCTCCCCCTTCTCCGCTTAACTCCGCGTCGCCCCTCGGCGCCTCTCCCGCCGTCCTCCCCGTGCGCTCAGCACCAGCCGTCATCAACGGGCTCGCCTCTCCCCCTAACTGCGCGCCCTCCTCGCCGCTGCGCTCGCCACTTTCTCCGCTCCAGCGCCGTTATTCCTTCCAACCAAACCGCGGCATGTCTGCGTGCAGGGGGCACGGGGACGAACAGCCGGCGCCAGACGCGGCGAGCTTGGCGATTCCGCGGCACGTGATGGGCGCGGGCAGCAGCGGCAGGTCGCTGTGTCGCACCATCTCGCCGCTCTCCGAGACCGCGTCGCTCGACTGGGCCGCCGCCAGCAGCGCCGCTAGCAGCCCCTCCACGCCCCTCCGCGTCTCCCGCCACCGCCACAACCACCAGCTCGCCGCCACGTCACAGGACGACGCAACTGACATGGCGCTCAGCTCGTACCTCTCCGCGAGCGCGTCGTTCTCCCGCCTGCAGCAGTCGAATCCCAACTCGCCACGTGGCAGTCGCCGCCGCAGCAAGGACACGCCGGTGCGAGAGATGCGGCCATTCGTGGATGCACTGCAGGATGCTGATGTGGCAGTGAGGCGGGTCGCCGCGGAGGCCATCCACGTGGCAGTGAAGGAGGCGGAGGAGAACCGCACACGGGTAGTGCAGGCGGGCGGCGTGGCGCCACTGCTGGCTGCAGCACAGTGCGAGGATCAAGGCACGGCACAGCAGGCATGCGCTGCCCTGCTGTACGTGTCACTAGCACGTGAGGGGGCGAGGGAGGTGGTGGTGGGTGGGGGCATCGAGGTGTTGGTTGATGTGCTGCGACCAGGGGAAGAGGCGGGGACGCAGGGAGAGGCGGCTGAAGCCACCAAGGCCAACGCCGCTGCTGCGCTCTTCACTCTGTCGTCCACCAAGGAGGAGCGCAAGCGCTTTGTGTGCTCTGCTGGTGCCGTGCCGCACCTCGTGCACCTCGTGCAGACGGCACACACACCCCGCGCGCTCAAGGATGGTTGCCTGGCGCTGTACGGGCTGGTGGGGTTGCGGCAGGCGGCGGAGCAAGCAGTGGCGCTGGGAGTGGTGGCGATGGCGGTGGGGCTGCTGGAGAGGCATGGCGAGGGCGTGGAGGAGAAGGCAGCGTCTCTGCTGGCCGTACTGGCTCGCTCTGACGTGGGTGTGGCAGCCATTGTGGGGGATGAGGATGCGGTGTGTGCGCTGGTGGATGTGATGGAAGGCAGCTCGCAGCATGCTGCTGACAAAGCAGCATGCACTCTGCTGGCCATGGCACGGCATGGCGGGGATGCCATGGCTCGGAGAATAATGGCCGAGGGGTGCCTCCCTCCATTGGCCAAGCTTGCAGCAAAAAGTCAGGCAAGCTCCGATTCCCGTGCTCTGTTGGACATTCTTAGGAACGTGGGGCAATGCAAGAAGTAGATTGTCATACCCGCTGACACAAGTGGGAGTAGAAACTTCGAACTAGGAGGTGCTGTGTTGATCACTCAGGTAAAATGGATTCATGTACATAATTTTTTGTCTCTCTACACTCGGCCTCCATGAATAATGAAATACATATTTGAACCATATTGGGCACGCGGTACAATGGTTAACACAGGTAAAGAAAGCATACGGTTGTAGGAAGGGCGTTCACCATGCCTTGTGTTGGAATAACCGAAAGGTTAAAGTAACATTCCCGAAGGATCTCCACACACGCGTCACTTCATAACGAAGCAACGCATCCGTAGTAGCAGTACCGCATGTCGAAATATGTTTACATATTTTATAACTGCTTGTAGTTGTAGTGTAGGCATCATGATTTCCTGCTTGTGGTGCACCTCTCCTTGCATGTTTCTCATCTATTGGTACTTGCAATTCTTTAGTGCAACCATCCTCCAGTGCTACTCTCTCTCCTTCCTCTCGACATTCACCTAGGCTAGGGTTTCTCCTAAGCCCACGTTCACCTACTATTTTATCATGGTTTCAGAGCAGGTAAGCTCCTAAGACCTAATGGGCCCACCGTTAGCTTCCGCCAATGCGCCTATTTTCTGCCCGTCGTGCACCCCGGGCGCGCGGCGGTTTCTGCCCGTCGCCCCGTCGCAGTGCTTCCCGTTGTCCCAGCTGCCCGCTTCCTCCTCCCTCTCCTGCTTCGCGTGGAGCAGTTTGGGGGGGGGGGGGGGGGGGGGGGGGAGGGTGTTGGGGGGGCGCAGGAGTGGCGGAGGGGGGTGGTTGCACCTCCAGCGCCCCGCTGCTCTGCTTCGTCACCAAGCCAGCAGCCCCCCCCTCCGCCTCTACCTTCCCCCCCCTGCTGCTCCTACTGCAGCGGCGGTTTCTGCCCGGCACCTCGTGCGCCTCTGCCCGGCGCCTCGTGCGCCTCTGCCCGGCGCCTCGTGCGCCCTGCCCGCCCGCGCCCGCCTCACCAGATCGCACACCTCGCCCCCCCTCCCTTCTCTGCCCTCTCCCTACTGCGTGTGCAGCAGTTTGGGGGGAGGGGGAGGTGGTGTAAGGGGGAGGTGGCACCAACGGCACCACCCTGCCTCCTCTGTTTCACGGCCGCACCTGCTGCTGTGGGGGGGAGGGTGGAGTGGTGGGAGTGGTGGGAGTGGCGGGAGGAGCTATTGCCGCTGCCGCTCGCCTTCCCCTCTCTCTTCCTGCTGCGCGTGCAACAGTGGGGGGGTGGGTTCGGGGTGGCGGGTGTGAGCACCCAGCTGCTGCCCCTCCTCCTCTCTCTCTCACTGCCGTACGTGCCGCTGTGGGGGGGAGGGTAAGGGGGTGGCGGGCTTCTGGTCGCCGTGTGAAGGCTTGAGCAGGGACCACCGTGGGCGGGGAAGGCGTTGGAGGAAGGGTGGGGGGGAAGGTGTGAGGTTCCAGGGGGCGGTTGACAAAGGGGGTCAGCTTGAGGGAGGTGGCTGAAAGGGGGCGTGGAATGAGGGGGCTAGTAAGAGGGGCTCACCGCGCTAGGCTCCCCCCCATCTCCTCTCCTCCCTCTCTCACCCTCCCCCCTTTGTAAAATGGGGGGTTCGTAAGAGGGGTTCGCTGCGTGGCTCCCCCCACCTCCTCTCCTCATCCCTCTCTCACCCCCCCCCCCCCCCCCCCCCCCCTTTGTAAAACGGGGGTTCGTAAGAGGGGCTCGCCGCGTGGCTCCCCCCACCTCCTCTCCTCATTCCTCTCCTCTCCCCTCTCTCTCTCTCTCGCCTCCTCCTCCTCATTTACCTCCTTGCCGTCTTCCACTGCGCGTGGTGTACCCCTTCAGGGGGCGTAACTACACTTCTTCCTACAAGCAATTATGGGGGCGTGTCGAAATATGTTTACATATTTTATAACTGCTTGTAGTTGTAGTGTAGGCATCATGATTTCCTGTTTGTGGTGCACCTCTCCTTGCATGTTTCTCATCTATTTGTACTTGCAATTCTATAGTGCAACCATCCTCCTGTGCTACTCTCTCTCCTTCCTCTCGACATTCACCTAGGCTAGGGTTTCTCCTAAGCCCACGTTCACCTACTATTTTAACACCGCAATAGCTCATATAGAGCATGCGGAAGATCGAGAGTCACCCGAAGGTCAACAGTCGAAGATCTCACCCAATTTGACAGCGCAGATATCACCCAATTTGACAGCGCACCCAACATTCCCCTTACAAGCCCATTTCAGACTCCGACATTCATACCTGTACACCAATTCGATCCTGACGATACAACTCGTGAAGCCCACAACTACAACAGTGCAGCGCGCCGATCACCGGATGCCGAGATACCACCACCAAACACCTCGCAAGACACCTTCCGCCTCGGCAACGACAGTGACGACGACGTCGTCGAAGTAACCAGCTTCCACGACTACGATCGCCTCCACTACGAGAAGAACAACGAAACCGGTCTCCGCATCCTCGGACTCGCTGTCTCTGTTCGCCACGCCTCCCCCAAGGAACCTACCACCGTTCGCCAAGCCTTGTCAGGCCCCGACAGTGAGAAATGGAAGGCAGATGGCAGCGGAAGTCGCGGCACTAAAGAGCCGCGGAACGTGGAAGCTGGTTCCACGATCATCAGCGAAGGGGAGAAAAGTTCTCAGCGGCAAATGGGTCTTCCGAATCAAAACACTTGCAGATGGCTGCATCGACAAGTACAAGGCGAGGTGGGTGGTACGCGGCTTCGAGCAAACCCACATGGTGGATTTCGACCTCGCCTACGTGCTTGTCGGAAGACACACCTCGGTGCGCATCCTCATCTACATTGCAACCGTTAAACAACGCCCGCTCCGTCAAATCGATATCAAGAGTGGATTCCTGTACGCTCCCGTCGACGCCATCATCTTCGTCGAGCAGCCGCATGCCTTCAAGGACGCCGACGGCGCCGTCTGCCTCCTTCGAAAATCCCTCTATGGGATCAAGCAGGCACCTCAACTATGGCATCAGTACCTGCACACCGTCTTGACGGAGCTTGGATTCACTCAGCTGCCACATGATCTCGGAATGTACCGCAAGGAGTCGCGTGGCAAGTTCATTCTCCTTGTCGCCTACGTCGACAACCTACTCTACACCGGCGACGACACGGAGCTGCTGGATCGTTTTGAGGCAGATATCAAGGAGAAGCTTGAAGTGACCATCAACCACAACGTCACACAATTTCTGGGCCTCAACATCACCCAATCTGCTACCTCCATCCACCTCTCCGCCACCAAATACGCGAAAACACTAGCGAAGAAGTTCGCCGTCGCCCCGATCAACCTCACCACCCCCTTCCGCACTCCTCCTCCTAACCACGAACCCGACACCACACCGCTCTCCATCGAGGACCATCGGCTCTATCAGCAGCAAGTGGGGTGTCTCTTGTTCGCCGCCGTCACTTGCCGGCCGGATCCCTCCTACGTCGCAAGCCAGCTCGCTCAGTACCTGAAGCGACCTGAATGGGAGAATCTACTGGATCTACGCCGAGCACTTCAATACTTCGTCTCTACTCCTGACGTCGGACTCACCTACGAAGCTAACCTCACCGCTATTCTACAGCTTCATGGCTACGTTGACGCAAACCACGCGGGAGACATTGACAACAGACGCTCCCGCACAGGATTCATTTTTCAACTCCAACCTGCTGGACTCATCTCTTGGAACTCCCAGAAGCAGGAGCTCATCGCACTTTCGTCGGCCGAAGCTGAGTTCATCGCCGCCAGCGCAACTATTCGCGAAGGACTGTACCTAATGGAGCTCCTGCATGAAGCGAAAGTGACGATGAACAGGCACTTCACGTTACTCTGCGACAACCAGAGCGCGATCAAGATCGCGAACAAGCCCGGCTTCGTGAACCGCACGAAACACATCGCACTCCGTTACTTCTCCGTCAAAGACGAGATCGACAAGGGCAAGGTCAAACTCACGTATTGCCCAACTGGTGACATGGCAGAAGATTTCTTAACCAAGAAGCTGCCACGTCAGAAGTTTCAGCACTGCACCAACCTCTGCGGAATCTCGAAGAAATCCCACGTGGCTCACCTTCAGGAATGAAGGGGAGTGTTGGAATAACCGAAAGGTTAAAGTAACATTCCCGGAGGATCTCCACTCACGCGTCACTTCATAACGAAGCAACGCGTCTGTAGGAGTACCGCAATAGCTCATATAGAGCATGCGGAAGATCGAGAGTCACCCGAAGGTCAACAGTCGAAGACAATCAACGGTCGTGACTCTTGACCGACCAGTAACCGCACTTGGTAGTTACGCGATGCAGCTTGATAACTGTCGAGAAGAGCAATAGCCGTGGTTACTGTAGCAATGCAATTGAGTTAATAAGGGAATGTACCCCTCAGAGTGTCAGAGGTCCACTGGTGATCCCCGATTGATCCTAGGGAAGGGTTACAGGCTCGTTGGTCTGGGGGTTATGGGTGCACTGACCCGCTACACAAACAAGCCCTTTTATCCCAATGGTATGGTGGTTGGGATTCTGACATGGTATCAGAGCGAAGGTCTCGGGTTCGAATCCCAGTGTCTGCACTTCGGGCATCCCAGTGCGGGGGGGTGTCAGAGGTCCACTGGCGATCCCCGATTGATCCTATGGAAGGGTTACAGACATGTTGGCAAAGGGGGTTATGGGCGTACTGACCCGCTACTTAACAAGCCATTTTATCCCAATGGTCTAGTGGTTGGGATTCTGAGACAGAGTACATGGCTAGCTAGGATTGCTATTTATACCTGCGTACTCGTATCTTATAATCATCTTATTCTCTTTCAACTTTTATTAACAAGGTTATTACAGAGACTTCATTGTCTTCTCCTAGACTTAGCAGACTTAACCACTACGATCCTTCAGTTATAACAACACCTTGACTCATCCAGCTGCCCAGAGTCATGTTTCTTTCTCTCCCAGATCCGCCCGCCCAGAGCATGATCCAGCCTTGAATAATGACAGGCCCTCAGATCTTGACCCCTTTTCATGATGATTCAGCGAGTTATCGAACTATCAGTTACATGATTCAGTGGTAGTAATGTTTTTAACTTTTTATTTAAACTGGAGGTTATATTGTATGGAAGGTGGAGGTGGTGTTCTTTTTCTACCTGAACTCCTAGCACATAATTCAGATGTACAGCGTAACAATGACCCCACAAATTCAAGCCTTTGCGAGATTAGTCGGATTCGCTACTGCTGGATTGTCTCGCGCACGAGCCTCGTTACCACGCAACACCGCTCTCTCCCACTTTTTCAGATTTTCGTATCCCAAGGCAAGGTTACCCGTCGGCCCCTTTGGAGCAGCATCCGCCCGCCGTACAAGTTGCACCTCACATGCACCCTCGAGACCTTCCTGCAAACACCAAGGCAGTTGACCTAACCTAATCCACCCTCCACACGATTGTCTCACCCTCCTAACTAACAGCGTCTAGTCTAGACAGGCGATCGTTAGGTCAAGACTGCATCGTCAATTACCTTTTTGTATTTATTGACTCGTCACGACACTACTTTGCGCTTTTCTGCGTTACGTTCCTAAACCACGACTACTTTCAAGTTTGGCACAGCAGGCGATCCCGGCGCGCATGTCGCCGCTCGATCATGCCGCCTTTCCAACGAGCCGTTACCCTCTGCGCGGAGCCAGGTAACGCCGCCAGCGATGCCCAACGCGACGTACCGCTTGAGGCAGCCGACGCGGTACGGCAAGCAGCCGGCAGTACCCTCGGAGTTCGTGTGTCCGCTGTCGCTGCAGCTGCTCACCGACCCGGTCATCACGGCGTCGGGCCTCACCTTCGAACGCGCCGTCATCCAGAAATGGTACCGCGACGGCAACCGCATATGCCCCGTCACCGGATCGCGTCTCGACCACTACCGGCTGTTTCCGAACCAGGCGGTTCGGCAGCTTATCGCGCAGTGGTGCGACGCGAACGCCGTGCCGTACGCGCCGGGCGTGCTGTGCGTGCGCGTGGACCCGCAGGGGCAGCAGGGGACGGGTAGCTTTAGGGAGCGCTCTTCCCAGTCGCGCCACGGCGGTCAGTCCTTAGCAGGCTCGGGCAATGGCAGCTCTGGGAGGCAGCCGCTCGCGAACGGCGTATATCAGCAGCAGCAACAGCAGCAACAGCAACAGCAACAGCAGCAGTCTCGGTTGCAACAACAACAGCAACTCCGCCAATTCCGCGCGCAAGAGGCGGAGCTGCTTTCTCCGCGTAGCGGGCGCGATAGCAACCACAGCTCCCCGGGCGCACACTCCGCGTGTGCCGGTCTCCCGCCCCCAGGGCCCTCCTCCAATCTCTCTCAGCGCCCCTTCACTCCCCCCGGCACTCCGCCCAAAAGCCCGCGCTCTGCAGCCCCCTTTTCCACTCTTCCTGGCGCCTTTCAGCGCCCGCGGACTCCCTCATCGGGGGCGGACGACCGACCGTTCTCCCCTGCTGGCGGGGAAAGTGTTCCGCGCAACCACCCTTCCGCGTCCCTTTCCGTTTCAAGATCGGTGTCGAGCGGGGGATCCGTGCAGCGCATCGCGTCGGGGAATGGCGCACAGCCGGTGCGGGGATCCCCCGCTGGCGCAATGGTTCCGCGCACAGCCTCAGGGGGAGGGGCGGTGCTGCGAGTGGTGTTAGGTGGTGGAGTGCCGCGCGTTTCCTCCGCCGACAGCCCCCGCGCGCGCATTTCATCAGCGGAGCGGATAGGCTCCAGTCCCCTGTCCGGGGACGAGCTGGGGGAAGCAGTTGCGCGGAGACAAGCAGGCGCGCCTCCCAATGGCGCAGGGCCTCCGCAGCGGCGGCAGGCGGCGGGGCCGAGACATAGGGGGAGCCAGTCGCAGGTTCTGCGGGTGCTGGGGCAGGACGGCGCGGGGGATAGCGGCTCCTCGGGTCTTGCGCGCTCGCACTCGCTGCAACCCAAGGCGGACGATATCGAATCGCTCCTTAACGCGTTAGAGGACGACGAATCGGACGGCTACGAGTCGGGTCAATCCGACGCGCTCTGGCGTTCCAACGAGCCGCTCCCAGTGCCCCGCGTCGCCAGCCTGGGGGGGAGGGGGGCTGCGCGGGGTCCTGGCGCGGGGAGGGGGGGAACAGGAGCGGGCAGGGGAGGGCGGGGAGGGAGAGGGGCGATGGCGGATGGTGTGGGGCGGTCGGACAGCTTAGAGCGCGGAATGATGCGCGCAAAGCAGCAGGGCCACGCGGGCGCGCACGCGGACGGGTCGCTCCGTCTGCTCAACGGCCGCAACGGCATTCCGTCAGGAAAGCGACCCGCGCAGGGGGGTAGCGGCGATGGGGGGAACGCGGAGAGCGGGTTGCGGCGCACGTCGTCGCTGCAGTCGCAGGGGCTGCTGTCGGCGAGTCTCGGCAGTCTGGGCCTCGACGCCACGCGCGACTCCTTCCGCGGCGCCGTCGACGACCTCGTGCCGCGCAGATCCGCGGGCGCGGGGGCGCGTGGGGAGGTCGTGCAGTCGCGGTTCGCGGGGGAGAGTGGCGGGGAGTCTTCGTCGGAGAGGGAGGCGCGGAGGGGCGCGCCTGGCCGGCCGGGGGGCGGCATTCCGCCCGGCGCGCGGCTGCTGGCGGCGGGGCGCGCGAGCCAGTCGTTCCGCGACCGCGCGAGCAGCGACGGCAGCGACAGCGAGCTCAAGGCGGCGCTGCTGGGCGCCATCCGCAGCTCCAGCGCCGGCAGCCCCGCCGACCCGCCCATGGCGGCTGGCGGGGGAGTCGCGGGGGGAGGGGGAGGGGGAGGCGGTGCAGGGGTTGCGGTGGCGAGCGGGCGGGCGAACGCGCTGCGCAGCATGGGCGCGGCGGGGATGCGGTCGGCGTCGTTCCGCATGGGGCGAGAGCTCTCCATTGACGTCAGCAGGGGCGCCGCTGCCACGGCGGGCGCGGGGGGCGGGGGCGCGGGAGGAGGGGGCGCGGGAGCTGGGGGCCCGAGGCTGACGGCGTCAGGCAGCCTGCGGAGCCCCGTGGGGTCATCCTCCATGCGCGTGTCGCGCGACGGCGCCATGGGCGCCAGAGCCGCCGCCATTGACGCCGCCCTGCGCGCCGCTGCTCTGCCGCGCAGCCCCGCTGGGCGCTCCTCGTCGTCACTTCCGCCCATCCGCGACAGCAGCAGCAGCGGCGCAGCATCAGGGGAGTTGGGATGGGGTGCGCCTGGGGTTCCGCGCAGTCCGGGGCGAGCAGCGCCCGCGGGCGCCAGGGAGGCGCCCATTCCGCGCGCGGGCAGCCGGGAGGCCGCCATGCACCACAGCGGTCCCCCTCTGGGGGACAGCCATGCCAACGGCCACACTGCCCCTGCGCCCTCTGCGCGCCATCCCCCTCCGCCGCTCGCCCTGCGTCGCGACCTCTCCATGGACACGTGGGCGCTCTCCTCGCACCTCCCCGCCTCCGCGCCCCCCGCCGCCGCGCCCCTCTCCCCCATCCACTCGTCCGGGCCCCTCTCCCCCATGCACGCATCCGGCCCGCCCTCCCCCCGCCTCTCCTCCACACCCCTCTCCCCGCGCGCCTCCACGGGTCCGCGCAGCCCCGTGGGCGCGGGCGCGAGGGGCGTGGGGGGCCCGGGGGGGCCGCCGCGGTGGCGGCGGGACAGCAGCGTGGAGAGCAGCGGTGATGCTGGCAGCGGCAGCGAGGGGCGCGAGCAGGGAGCGGGCATGGGCGGGGGGGGCGGGGGAGGCGGGGGAGGCGGGGGGGGAAGGAGTCCGCCAATGCTGCAGCGCAGCCTGGGGCGGCGAGTGGCGGAGGAGGGCGCGCTGCTGCGCTCAGGGTCCATTCAGAGCGTGCAGTCCGTGGGGCATGGGGGCGCGGGGGGGCACAGGCATGCGCAGGGGCAGGGACAGGCGCAGGGGCATGAGAGCATGGGCGCCAGTGACACGGACGACCCGTTCCTCTCCGCCCTCTCCAGCGTTCGCCGCGAGCAGCAGTTGTGGGGCGAGGGCGGGATGAGCGGGGGGGAGGAGGGGGGCGCGGCAAGGGGGAGGGGCCAGCAGAGGGGGTTGTCGAGCTTGGCGCAGTCAGAGGGGGAGGGGCGCGGGGGGAGCGACTGGGAGAGCGATGTGTCGTCCGTGCGCCACAGGAGGGCAGCGGGGGCAGCGGCGGGAGGGTCACGACTAGGCAACAGGGAGGCAGGGGGAGGAGCAGGGGCGGGCACGAGTTCAGGGCGGAACATGGGAGGGGCGGGGCAGGGGAGGCGGCAGCTGCAGCGGGGGTCGTCACAGACGGACAATCGCGGGCTGGGCCGGGCGGCACACAGGGCACTGCACACCACCACGCTCGACCCCACAGGGCCGCCCTCAGGCATGAACCCGCCGGGCGGCGCACAGGGGCTGCGGCGCGCGTCCTCATTGGCTGTGGTGGGCGGCAGCGGGCGGCAGCAGGGCATGGAGGGAATGGAGGGGATGGATGGTTCAGAGGGGTTTCACGAGGTGGTGCAAGAGATGAAGGCAGAAGGGGGGCGGGTGGGCGGAGGGGTGCGACGCGGGGGAAATGAAGCACCAGGGCCGGAGCTGTCAGCATCGCACCGCAGGGTGGCGTCGCTGGCAGTGCAGAGCCGCAGCAGCAGCAGCAGCAGCATTGCCCTGGGGGGGGGTGCCATGGGCAGCTCAGGTGAGGGCCGTGCCGTGTCCAGGCGCCTGAGCGGCGGCAGCGGTGGCGGGCTGTCCTCTCGGCGCTCCGACTACTCTCTGCCCCCTGATGCGTCCGCATTGCTGGACGAGCTTGATGGGTCGGATGGCAGTGAGGGGGATGTGGGGGATGAGGGGAACATGGGGGACCGGCGGGTGCATGGGCATGGGGGGTACGAGGCCATGCAGGGGAATGGTGGCACGGGGGGGCACATGCCGCAGCATCAACTGCAGCAGCAACAGCAACAGCAGCAGCAGCAGCAAGGGCATGGGCATGGGCATCAGGAGGAGGTACCACAGCCTCGAGTGGGCAGGGTGGGCGGCACCTTTGCCTGGCTGCGAGAGGCCCTCCGTAGCCCCCTCAAGAGCCCCAAACCCGCTGCCCCCGCCCCCACCGCCCCCGCCCCCCACTCCGCCCAATCTATCCCGTTGAGTCCCCGCTCTGCCCAACCCCCCCTGCCCGCGTGGGGCGCGGGGATGCGCCCGTCCACCCCCCCCCAGGGCGCGGCGTACGGCAAGAGCGCCACTGTGCCCGCGCCTGAGCGCCGCAGCCTCTGGGGGGAGGCCAGGCGCGCTGTGGGGCTGGGGGAGGGCGGAGGGGGCGACGGGGGGAAGGCGGAGGAGGTGTTCCGACAGTCGTCCTCGGAGCATGGGGGGCAGGACGCGGTTGCTGCCATGCAGTGGGCGCAGGGGGAGCGGGGGGAGCGGGGGGAGGAGGCTGACGGGAGGGGGGAAGGGGGCCGCAGTGGAGGGAGTGGGAGAGGCGGGCAGGGGCTGCAGGGAAGGGGGATGGCGGTGGGGGGGAGGGAGGTGGGCGAGGGGAGGAGTGGGAGTCAGGGCAGCAGTGGGCACGAGGGGATGAGGGACGGGGGAAGGGGAGCAGGTGGACGGGGAGTGGGGGGAGGCGCAGGCAGAGGAGGGGGGCGAGGCAGGGAGGGGGCTGCAGACGCGGGAGGGGGGGGTGGGCGGGGGCAGGGATGGGCCAAGGTGCGCGCTGTGTTCCCCCTGCATGGGGAGGGCGCAGGGCGGGGGGCAGGGGGGAGAGGGCCGGGCAGAGGAATGGGCGACGGGGGAAGAGGGGGTGGGGGAAGAGGAGACGGGGGAAGGGGAACCGGGGGAAGAGGAGCAGGAGCAGGGCCGGGGGTAAGACAGGGCGGTGCAGGGGTTCCAGGAGGGGGAAGAGAGGGTGGGGACTCGGGTCGGCTATCCTTAGAGCGCACGTTATCACTGTCCTCCAACCACCACGCCGTAGCCGCAGCGGATTCCCACAGGGACGTCGACGGCTCCTCGGCCCATCCTCTCTCCCCGCTGGCAGCAGCTGCAGCGGCATCACCCCCGGACATGGTGACGTTGGTGCGGGCGGTGGCGCACGGGGGGGAGGCGGATCGCATGGAGGCAGTGGCGGCCATCAGGGCGCTGGTCAAGGGCAGTCGCGACAACAAGTCACGCCTCATCGCCGCGGGAGGCGTGCCGGCACTTGTGCGTGTGCTGCGCCATGCCCACCCGGCCATCAAGGAGCATGCGGTTACCGCCATTCTGAACCTCTCCCTCGTGCCCGGTGCACCCGCTATTATTGCCTCGGTGGGTGGGATTGATGCGGTGGCGGGCGTGCTGCAGTCGGGGTCGCAGGTGGCACGGGAAAACGCCGCAGCGGCGCTGTTCGCCCTCTCGGTGGACGATGGGAACCAGTGCCTGGTGCGGCGAGCTGGGGCGGTGCTGCCGCTGGTGGACGTGCTACGTTCAGGCAGCACGCGAGGGCGCAAGGACGCTGCTCTCGTGCTCTTCAACCTCTCCCGTGACCAGCGCAGCCGCGCTGAGATCGTGGCGGCGGGGGCGGTGCCGGTGCTGGTGGGCATGCTGGGCAGCGAGGAGGGCGGGCTGGAGGAGAAGGCCATGGCAGTACTGGCGAACCTGTGCCGCATGCCTGAGGGCTGTGATGATGTGCTGGACCTGCCGGGAGCCATCCCCATGCTGGTGCGCGTGGTGGCGCAGGGGTCACAGCGCGCCAAGGAGGATGCGGTGATGACGCTGCTGATGCTGGCGAATAGTGAGCCGGCGAGCTGCCATGCGATGCTGGCGGAGAGCATGGTGCCGGCGCTGCAGCAGGTGGCGCAGACGGGGTCCCAGCGCTCCAAGGGCAAGGCCAGGGCGCTGCTGGACCTGCTCAGGAGCCAGGCGCAGCGAGGCCGAGGGGGGGCGGACAGGTGACCAGAGGGGGTTTCTTGCACTGCCACCTGCTGTGGCGTTCATGCAGGCCAGGAGGGGTGGGTGGAGACGGTGGGGCAGAGGGGATGGGGGAGGGAGTTGGGGGTTGTGAACGTGGGGGGGTTGGGGGCTGGGGATGGGTGTAACTAGGGAGAAGGTGTGTGGGGCGTGTTGCGAAGAGAGTCAATGGTGAAAATGGAAGGGTGGCAGCAGAAGGTGTGAGATATTATGACGATGGGTGTTAGCCGCCAGGAGGATGCCTTGACCCGCTAACAAGAGCACCACTTCACGGCTCTAATAAGCCCCTGTGTGGGTGCGTGGGTAGGTAGATGCATGGCATGATGAGGTGGGCATGAACCCATGCTTCCATCCCTGACTACAGCTGCTGCACATGCACTGCCTGTTCAGGGCTTTGTAAGCGGGAGCCTTTTCGAGGCTCCTCAAAACGCGCTTGTACGCGTGTATTGTAAGTTCTTAGGCCAGGATAGACTGTTACCACTAATCTGGTAGAGCGTTAATTACTCGTCTGATCTTCATGAGCATCAATATGGTAGGGTTCCAAGATCTCCACATATTCATTGCTATTGCTGTGCATAGAGATATATACTATAGCAGTTACGAGTGCAATTGAGTGACCGAGCGAGGATTGCACTATCGAGGCAAGAATACAATGAGCGAAGGATTGAGCAAAGAATATTTAGCGAAGCTACATTGGTAACGGTAACGTGAGGAAAATGGGGTGCGCGACGGTCCTAGCGCCAAGGTTGGGGATTGTCGAGGCGGAGGTCTGGAGCGCGGGTTACCAACCGAAATATGAGGTTGGGTCGCATCGTGAACAGTGTCGGAAATAGTGTCGAGGCGAATGTCGCGAGTGGTAACGGATGATTGTGGGGTGCTGTTGGCGGGAAATAGTGGTGTATGCGCTGAGCAGGGACGCGAAGTAAGGAAAAGGAATTTTCCTTGCACTACCCCCTCCCCTAAGGAGGCTCTCCTTACGAAAGCGCGTGTACATCCCGTAAATTTCGGCTGCGCAGATAGTCGTTGAGGACGGGGTGGTTTTCGATTCTGTCCAGGGGGAACCCAATTGTCTTCGGTGGGCGTGCGGTCTTTCCAACGGATCAGAAATTCGACCCTTCGAGCTCCCCGTGGGTCACGAACTCGGTGGCTCAGAATCTTTTCGGGCGTGATGATTGGTTCTGTCGGCGGTCGTGTCATGCTGGCTGGGCGGTTGCGGGGAAGTTGGCTGGTGGATGGTACGTAAGGGCGAAGCAGGCTGACGTGGAAGGACGGGCTGACGTACCAGTCAGCAGGGAGGAGGAGGTGGGCGGTGACGGGTGTGATCATGTGACTGGTGCGAAATGGCCCGCAATATCGGGGGCGGAGTTTCGGGGTTATGGGCAGGCGGAGGTTTTGAGTGTCGAGTAAAACTAGGTCGTCGGGCTGGTAAGTGACAGGTCTGCGGTGGCAGTCGGCGTTGCGCTTTGCGATGACGTTGGCTTTTTTAATTGCCTCGGCTGCCCTGGTTCGTGCTGCTTGTAAGATTTCTGCGAAATGTTGCGCTCGTGGGACTGGGTTGTCGGGATTCGGGGTCATGGGTACTGTAGGGTCTTGTCCATAGTTCGGGTAAAACGGTGAATGTTGGGTCGTGGCGGATGGTGAGTTGTTGTACGCGAATTCGATGAGTGACAACTGCTGTTCCCATGTGGTCGGATCGTCGCACGTGGCTCGGATGAGCTGCTCCATGGTCTGATTTGTCCGTTCTGTCTGTTCGTCGGTTTCGGGGTGGTACGAAGAACTAAATTGTAGTCGTGTGCCGAACTGCTGCCACAGGTTCTGCCAGAAGTTACTGGTAAATTCCGGATCGCGGCCGCTGATGATCGCTGCTGGTATCGTGTAGTCGAACGACGTTGGAGATGAAGAGGCGGCCTGTTTCTTCAGCTGTGATTGATTTCTTGCAGGCTGCGAAGTGTGTCATTTTCGTCAGCCGGTCGATGACGACCAGGATCACGTCGTTCCCACTTGCTCCGGCCGGTAACCCCGTGACGAAGTCCATTGTCACCTGCTGCCAAGCACGCTCTGGGGGTGGTATCGGCATGTCAAAGTAACGAACGAGAATGGATGAACTATGAAACAGTTGGGTACAAGTACTAACCCTAATTGGGTTGTACCCCTTATGGGCTACCCCACTATAGCCTACACAAATGTATAAGCTATAATGTTCTGACACACCCCCATAGGCAAAGTGGGGGAGAACAAGTGGTCACAAGACCAGTCAAGAAAAGCAAAGCAAGCTCAGGGTGGATCACAAAGTCACCACACAGTCCGAGCACAAGCAAAGGGCCACAAGGCCAGTTCACATGCAGAGTTATATAAAGAGAACAAACAATACAGTGATCATACCCTAGCAAGTGTAAGCATGCAGGTATATATATAGATCACAGTACAAGCAGAGTCAAGCAGTAAGCAAGTGAGGCAAAGTAGGTACAAGGCCTAACACAGTAACAAAGCGCTGATGATCACCAGGCGGAAGTGCCTTGGTGAAGACATCAGCAGTGTTGGCCCGAGTGGCCACGTACGCAAGACGAAGCTAGCCACGCTGCTGCAACTCTCGAGCAAGGAAGTATCGCAGAGCGATGTGCTTCGTTCTGTGCTCCAGTCTGTGCGCCTGACACAAGGCAATCATGGTCTTCTTGTCTACGTACAGAACTGGAGGCGAACGAGGCTGCTCTCCCAAGTCGGTCAGCAAGTAGGTCAGCCAGCGGAGCTCCTGAGCAGCCATAGCCCCGGCGTAGATCTCAGCCTCACAACTGGAGCTGAGAACTGAAGACGAGCGGGTAGACCGCCACGACACAGAGCCAGAACCAAGACTAAAGGTGTAACCCTGTGACGACCGCTGCGTAGCTAAGTCGTCAACCCAGGAAACAACTGGACCCCGTCCTCCAAGCACGAGCCCCATGCCCGACGTACTGCACAGGTAACGCAGTACCCTCTTCGCAGCATCCCAGTGCACCTTTCGGTGCCTATCGGGAGCCACGTAGCGAGCAAGAAGGCTGAGAGGGTACGCGAGGTCAGGTCGTGTGCAAGTCATCAGGTACATGAGGCAATCCACAAGCTCTGGGTATGGACCACTCGGCTCTACGGACTCGTCCGAAGGTGGAGTTGAGAGCAAGTGGGTGGTAGACAAAGCAGTGGGCTGTGGCGAGGAGAACTGGAAGCCAAAGCGCTGAAGGACCTGGTGCAGCATGTGTGACTGAGTCAGTGTGATGGTGCGCCGTGCTCAGTCCCGGGTGATCTGCAGGCCAAGATAGCTGCGCAGTTCACCCACGTCAGTGCAGGTGTGTCTCTTCTGCAGCTCGGACTTCACAAGGGTCAATGCCTCAGTGTAAGCAGTGGCAAAGACGAGGTCGTTGACGTACACGAGGACGTAGAACGGGGGCAGAGAGGTGTCGGTGCGTAGAAACAGCGACGGGTCCGCAGTAGAAGGAGCAAACCCAGGAGCCGCCAGTGTAGTCCTCAGTGTGTCGTGCCACTCGCGAGGCGCCTGGCGGAGACCGTAGACTGGCCGGCGGAGGCTCCACTGGGTACCTGCAGGAAACGTCCCAGTGAAACCAGGTGGTTGGCGCAGCCAGATCTCCTCGTGCAGGCTACCCTGCAGGAAAGCTGTGCTGAAGTCCAGAGAGTGCAACTCGTAATCACGCTGAGCAGCGACGTGCAGCAACACCCGAAGAGTAGTCATCTTTGGGGTGGGGGAGAAGGTCTGGAAGTAGTCAACTCCCTGTCGCTGACTAAAACCTCGAGCAATGTAACGCGCCTTGAAGGCAGGCGGAGAACCCGGCGGCCGCTTCACCCTGAAAATCCACTTGCCATCGACTATGTTCGCCCCGGGTGGGGGAACCTCGTCGACGTAGCTGCCTGTGGACTTCCAGGATGCCATCTCGGCATCCATGGCTGCCTGCCACTGAGAGGAGTAAGGACTCGTAATCGCCTCTGCGTAAGAGCGCGGGGTCGGGATGTCTGGAGCATCCGGGTCTCCCTCAGGGGCAAGCAGCAAGGAAGCGAAACGAGGTACAGCAGCTGCAAGACACTCAAAGTCCTCGTGCCTGTCCTCAAGGACGTCCGTGCCAAGAGCACACTCACCCCCGACGGACGGAGGACTGGCAGAAGCATACTCAGCAAGAAGAGCAGTGGCGTAGTCGAGACGGCAGGCAGCAGCAGGGGAACGAAGTACGGTCACGGCCGCACAGTGCCTTCAGCACCTCCAGCGCAAGGGTCAACAGCTCCAGTGCCTCCAGCTCCAGTGCCTCCAACTCCAGCTCCGGCAGCTCCAGCGCCTCCTACGCCAGGGCCTACAACTCCAGCACCCTCAACACCACCAGTCCCGTCAGCTCCAGTACCCCGGGTACAAGCACCTCCAGGACCAGTGGTCGTAGCACCTCCAGCACCGCTAGCTCCAGCAGCAACTCCAACACCTCCAGCTCCAGCAGCTCCAGCACCTCCAGCCCCGGTGGCTCCACTCCGAAGGCGTGCGCGTCGAACAAACCACTCACGCAGCTGCTGCGGAGACAGTCTCGGCGAAGCACCAGCAGAACCTCCAGACGAAGCAGCACCCTGAGGCTCAGCACCTCCAGACTCCGCACCCTCCAACGCAGCACCCCCAGGCTCAACACCCTCAGGCTCAGCACCCCCAGGCTCAGCACCCCCAGTCCCAACACCACCAGGCTCAGCACCCCCAGTCTCAGCACCCTCAGACCCCGCACCCCCAGGCTCCGCACCCCCAGACGCAGCACCCCCAGACGCAGCACCTCGAGCAGCACCTGAGCCGACAACTACCTGAACAGGCGCAGGACCAGGGAGAGGGTCTACCTGGGACACACCTGAGGGAGCAGGACCCTGGGGCGGGAGGGGGTCTACCGGAGGGGGACCCGGAGCAAGGAAGAGCGGCGAGGGCAGGGGAGGGGTAGAGCGGTAGGGGAAGAGACGGTAGAAGGGAACCGACTCGTCGA